GAGCGCATGAACAGAACTCTGAATGAACGTACCAAAAGCATGAGGATACATGCCGGATTGCCCAAATTTCTATGGGCTGAAGCTATTAACACTGCAGCTTACTTGATCAACCGTGGGCCCTCAGTTCCTTTGGATGGCAGAATACCAGAGGAAGTTTGGAGCAAGAAAGAAATAAACCTTTCACACTTAAGAGTGTTTGGTTATATTTCTTATGTACACATAGACTCTGCTGAAAGAAGTAAACTTGATGCTAAGTCCAATAAATGTGCCTTTGTTGGTTATGGCGGTGATGAGTTCGGTTACCGGTTTTGGGACTATGAAAATCGAAAGATCATCAGAAGCAGAGATGTCATTTTCAATGAGAATGTGATGTACAAAGACAAGTTAACTATAGAATCAAGCAACTCCAATACCGAAGTTGAAACAAAGGAATTTGCTGAGTTCGAGGAGATTTCTGGAAATGATGTTCAAATCAGTCCTGAAGCAGTTCAAGAAGAACCAGGGACACCGGAACTAAAACGCTCCTCCAGAATTCCTAAACCAAACCAGCGATATTCTCCTTCTTTGCACTACTTGTTGCTGACTGATAATGGTGAACCAGAGTGCTATGATGAAGTAATGCAAGTGGAGGATTCAGTTAAGTGGGAGTCTTCCATGAAAGATGAGATGGACTCGCTTATGTCAAATCAGACGTGGGAATTAGCTGAATTACCACCAGGCAAGAAAGCACTCCATAACTAGTGGATTTACAGGATCAAATAAGAGCATGATGGGAGTAAACGCTACAAAGCAAGATTGGTTGTCAAAGGCTTTTAGCAAAAAGAAGGTATTGACTACAATGAAATTTTCTCTTCAGTCGTGAAGCTATCGACAATTAGACTGGTGTTAAAAATTGTAGCTGCCGAGAATTTACATCTTGAGCAGTTAGATGTGAAGACAGCTTTCTTTCATGGTGATTTGGAGGAAGAAATCTATATGAGGCAGCCAAAAGGCTTCATAGAGGCAGGTAAGAAAAACCTGGTATGCAGGTTGAAGAAGAGTTTGTATGGTTTAAAACAAGCTCCTAGACAATGGTACAAGAAGTTTGATAGTTTCATGAGTAGCAGTGGTTTTACCAGATGCCAAGCAGATCATTGTTGCTATATCAAGAGGTTCGACAATAGCTTCATTATTTTATTGTTGTGCGTTGATGACATGCTCGTTGCAGGCTCAGACATGCAAGAGATTATAAACTTGAAGCAAAAATTGTCGAAGCAGTTTGCTATGAAGGATCTGGGCGCTGCAAAGCAGATTCTTGGGATGAGGATCAAGAGAGACACAAAGTCGGGGACTTTGATATTATCACAGGCTGAGTACATCAACAAAGTACTCTCCAGGTTCAACATGCAAGATGCTAAACCAGTAAGTACACCTTTAGGTGTTCATTTCAGACTCTCTAAAGAGCAGTCACCAAAGACGGAGGAAGAACGTGCACACATGGTGAATGTGCCGTATGCCTCAGCAATTGGAAGTCTGATGTATGCCATGGTTTGTACCAGACCAGATATTGCTCAAGCAGTGGAAGCTGTTAGCAGGTACATGAATAATCCGGGCAAGGTACACTGGAAATCAATCAAATGGATCCTCAGATATCTACGGGGTACCACAAACAAAATACTTTGTTTCAAAGGTGGAGATACGATACTGACAGACTATGTAGATGCTGACTTAGCAGGAAATGTTAACATAAGAAGGAGCACTACAGCAAAGAGATGGTTTGGCTCCAAAGTTTCTTGGAAGAGTTAGGCAAGAAACAAGAAAACAATGTCTTGTATTGCGCAGTCAAAGTGTTATACATCTAGCAAAGAATCTGTCTTTTCATTCCAGGACAAAGAGCATACAATTGCGATATCATTTTATCCGGTCTCCTCTGGAAGATAGGAGTTTGAAACTTGAAAAGATCAGTGGAGCTCAAAATCCGGCAGACATGTTGACAAAGACGGTGACTACAAACAAACTGAAGTTGTGTTCAACTTCAGTTGGCATGCTAGAGTAACAAAACTAGAAAAGCTGTTGCATTGATCAAGGTGTGAAGACATATTAAAATCAGTCTTCAAGTGGGAGATTGTTGAAAGTATTAAAATGGTTTTCAAGTTTGGTAACCAACTTTGAAAAAAATGGTTTTCAAAGTTTGGTAAATGTTTCTTTGAAAATGGTTTTCAAAGATTGGTAAATGTTTCTTTGAAAAATAGTTTTTCAATGTTTGGTAGATGTTTGTTGAAAAATGATAATGGAATAATCACAATTAATCCCTAGGCTTTAGGGTATTCACATGATTAAGTCCTTAAGTTTCAACTATAAATACCCTAGCTCATTTAGCTTCAAAATCATCCCAAAAATCATTTCTTTCTCCCAATACTAGAGAGTTTTCTTGTGAGTAGTGAGTGTTTTGTAAACACCTGTAAATTTTATCTCTTAGTAAAAGATCTGCAGTAGTCCGGAGACGTAAGCACAATTGGCTGAACTCCGTTATCAATTTCGGGTATTATTTTTCCGCTTTTATTTCGCATTCTCACTAATCTTGTTATAGGGAAATTACTTGTACTCGGTTTATTTCCTAACATTCAGTTGTATAAGTTTGGATGGGTGATGTCTGCACAAGTCATCCAACACGTTTGAAACAGTATCTCAAGTCTGGTTTGATTGTCTAGTTAAAGTCAACCGCATAAAAAAACATAGCTCATTGAAACCCAAAGAATCATCCAACAAATTAGGACAGTTGTCAAGAGAAGAACCCTTGTAACCAGTCCGGCTCCAGCCGCCGTTCCTATCTTTCATTGATTGGCCTCATCTTCCTAATAGTCTTGTTCATTTCCTTGAAAATCCTCATAAATTAACTCAATAGGAGAGATGACTACGACTGGTACGAGAAATTTTAAGGAAAAACGGATTTCAAAGAGGAGGCGACTGAGTATACATGGGCCCAATTGGTCAGATCTCCCCCTCGACATCCTTGAACGTATAATTGGACGTTTGCGTTGGGTAGATCGAAGCCGGATACGAGCAGTTTGCAAGGCTTTGTCAGTCCCAAACACTTGTATTCCTGCTATTAGTGAACTCCCCTGGGCAATGAAATTTTGTTGGCGTTATGCCTATTTGTTTCAAATACAAGGTGAGTGCGGGCTGCTGGACCCTCTTTCCAGAGAGTACCTTGTCGAAGAAAGGTTCAGAGGACTATCTACTTTTCCTTAATCCACGACCTTGTGCTTCTTTATATGGGTGGGTTCTTTTCAAAGTGTACGACTTTATTGCAGAAAGAACAGAGTCCCTCTTTTTGTACACTCCGGGACCTCCCACATTTCAGGTGGCGGCATTTGCCTTGAATGCAACATCTCCAAAATGTACCATCTTTCTTTTGTGGAGTGAAAATGGAAAAATTTATATCAAGTTATGTTCTGCCGGTGATTGTTCATGGAAGACTTTTGAGTTTGATGGGTTTGATCGGTTTAATTGTGATGTTGATGCTGCCTACGACAACGGAGTTTTCTATTATGTTTTTAGAGGAGGTCAATTGGGTGCCTTCAATGTTGAACTTAAAGGGTGGACTATTCTGGTTGATCATTGTCCACTCTCACGAAGTAGTGTGCGCTATGCTAAACTCATTGCGTCTGGTGCAAATCTGCAACTGTTGTCTGATAGCTCATCTTTGGAACTCCTTAAGCTTGATTTTGCAAAGATGGATTGGGTTTATGAAAATGATTTGAATAAGGGTGCGGCACTTCTTTCCTCCGCGGTTGCAAATTAGCTCAGCAACCCTAAGGTATGGTCACATATGCGGCTCTACCGTAAGTGTGTTGAGCAGCAAAGTGCGACAGGATTTGGATTGAACTTCCGTTGGGTGGTATTTGGAGAGCCGATGATTTGATTCATGCTGTCTAGTTGAATGCTGCAATGCAAGCCAACCATCAACAGCATTTTTTATTTATGTTTGGATCAATTCTGTTTTCTGCTGAAATAAATTATTCCTGGAACATCATATGTTTTCATGAATGGAATTTCAATTTTTAATTATTCCTGGTACTTCATCAGACTCCGATGTATATATATATATACACACACAGGAAAAAAAAGGCTTAATACTCAAATAAGTGTCTGAACTATACTCTTTTTCCCAAATAGGCGCCAACAATATTTTTCAGACCATTTAGGTGAGTAATATTATAAACGTTATCACTTTAAGTGCCCGAACCGGCAACGATGTCAATTTCTTCCGTTAAGTGACATATAATTAGGATGATGACAGAGGCTACGTTGACAGCGGTGGTAATGGTTGGAAAGGATGTCGGTGACGATTTAGTGTTAAGATTTGGGGATTTTAGGGATTTTGAGACTTTTTTGTAATTTAAAATAAATTATGATTTTTTTATAAATATAATAATGTTTTTAATATTTAAAAAAATAAATTTTAAATTATCAGAGAAACTAATGGTCGTTACGTCCCGGTCACCTAAAATGGTCACGTTTGTAGCTTTAGATACCTGAATAGTCCAAAAAATACTGTAGGCATATATTTGGACAAAAAAGGTTTAGTTTGGACACTTATTTGAGTATTAAGCCTAATTTTTAATTTGACCTATAAACTTTAGATACAATATCAATTTAACCCCTAAATCTAAACAAAATCATCTGCAATTGGTCGTTAGATCGACAATAGTTAGACCCAAAATTTTTTACTTCACTTATTTTTTTTTACCTCACTTATTTTTTTTACCTCATAAACATGAATCTGATATATATTTCATCAAAAAAAATGTCTCAAACTTCATAAGTTTAATAATACAATCAAACTAACAATATTTATGTTTCAGTAACTAAAACATTACACATCGACAACATTAATGATCAAAATATTTTTTCCTAAATAGATGAGGTACCAAATAGACAACTTACGCAAAGAATTAGTAAGACGAAAGTGGTGATTAGAAAGTCAGCATAATCAACAAACGTATCTTACATGGTTCTCAACATGTGTTGCTCTGTTGTTGATCTTCCAAATCTTTCTCATACACTATCCCAACCCCACATTTCTTCACCCCAACACCTTTGCCACAAGCCTTACATATGAATAACAATTCAAGTACATCGCATTCCTGATTTGAGCAATCCGGTGTTGATGTATTCTCGGTTTCACTTTCACCACATTCATTCTCCAAGAAATATGGATATAACACGTCACGCCGCAAATAACAAAGAAAAAGGTGGTCATTTTTTATGGGCTGATTATATCCTTTCCCTAATCCAATGCCAACGTGATCAACACGTCGAGGTACTCCACAATGGATAACAACATTACAGCTGATAAAATCATTCCACGAAGAATTGCCACCGGCAAAAATGCAGCAGAAAGCAACTCCCATACATTGACTATCATTCCGAATATTGAGAGGCAGTGGCATCTTGATTGAAGAGTCGACTCTTTGATGGCTGAACCATTCCGGAATTTCACTTCCAGGTATAATAACAACGAACGACTTTCTTGAATTTGCAAGTACGAGATTTTGTTGAGCAAAAAAGAGAGATTGAACAACCTTGATTGCATTAATGTTCTCAGCCAATCTGTAGCAGTTGGTACCTATAAAAAACACACACTTCCCTGAACTGCATACTTTTGACGGACTAGCAATTAGTTCCAGAGAAGCACAATCATCTATGCTCACATTTACTGTACTTGCTGGAAGCTCAGGCAATGATTTCAGCCCCCGGCAATTCATCAATTCAAGATCTTCAAGCTTGGAAAGTCGAGTAAGAGAATCAGGTAGGCTGATGAAATTGTTACTGCTGAGATCGAGTTTCTTCAAAGAGGATAGACAAGAAATATCAATAGGAATATCTCCTTCACAAAGATTGCAGTCCCTTAGTTTCAGCTCTGTCAATGAACTCAAACCCGACAACGAAGGCAACATCAGAGCCATTGAATTCGTCTTTCCTCTTTGGATTTTTTTGAAGAGAGAAGGCAGATTTCTTCGAAACTTAGATGAAGATCCCTTGCGGCCGTTGAAAGACAAAACTTTAAGATTTTTAAGTCGAAAAATGCAGGACGGTGGTTTCGTTATGGCCGTTTCATTCAAGTCGAGCTCTTCCAAAAACTCTGCTAGCTGCAAACTCTCTGGCAAAAATCCAACTCTATAACATCCGGAAAGATCAAGAGTTTTTAGACAATCCATTTTGCAATCAATCTCTGGAAACCAAAGAAGATTTGAACAACCCGAAAGAATGAACGTTTGAAGAGATTCCATTCCAATTTTGGTTGGAAGATTCTTAAGACCTTTGCAGCCTCTCAAATTCAAATTTTGAAGCCTCTTAAGCTCTGCTATGGATGGATGAACATCAACTATTTTTGTACAACCTTCCAGGATCAGAACTTCAAGATCTGGGGCCATTGTGAAGTCCGGAGTCTTGATCAGGTTCGGGGACTCTCTGAGGTTTAACACTTTCAGCTTGTACAAGGGCTGTTGAAAACAATAATAAATTAGAGAGAAAAGAGAAAACATAAGAAAGCTCGTTCTTGTTATTTTTGTCTCTATCATAATCAAATTTTATTCATTCATCTTAAAATTAGAGAATGAATTCTTACTCTGGTTCCCTTCCATAGTTGTTCAATGCGACTGTATTGTAAGAGAAGTGCAACAAGGTTGTCCGGTTGAAAGCTGAGGGCAGAGATCTTAAGGGAATCCTTTCCAATCTAAAAGCCGTAGCTCATTAGAAAGATATTTGAGACCATCACAATTTGAGAGGCAAACACTTTGAGCAATCTCAATCTTTTCATTCGAGAAGGCATCGACACTCAAATGAAATGCTTGTTCGATTCCCTGATAACCATGAGAAAACAAAAAAATGAGCTTCAAACTATGCAAAAACAAATCCAATACCTAAAAGCTATGTGCTCCATTACTGTGTTTTCAATCATCGTATTTGATACTTGTATCTGACGCATTAGAGTATTGTAATATGATATTTCAAGAACTCTTCGAATCATGGAAAAACGTTAAAATCAATACCCATGTTTTCCTACCTTTGATTGTCGATGATCATGGTTTCAATCACCTCCGTGGCCTACAAGTAATCAATAACAGAGTATAAGAAGACAGAGTGAATGGTTTAAACTGCATGATAAATCTTTTGACCATTTACACTATGTTTAACATTACGATAATCTTTTGGTCGGAATATAGTAAATAAATCACTTTAAGCAAATTATAAACATTTTCCAATGAGAGTGATTTACTGAAATTATATACTTATTCAAATCCTATTAACATTATAATCAACTAAAAATATTTTAAATGACATAGTTTTGCAATATAATGAATAAATATATTCCTCCTACTCGATCGAATATTCAAAATATTATGTATATTTTTGTACGTAGGAAGACTTGGTTTTATTGAATGACTTACAGTTTTTTTTGTTAGAACATGTTGGATGTCCCTTTCATCCCACAATCTGCAACGCTTTCCAGGTTCATCAATAGATTTTTCCCAAACAATTTTTCTTCCCATTTCTTGTAGCAAGTCATGCATCCACAATCTGTTCTTTCCGTGAACTGCCACTAGAGATTTCTTAACGAGAACATCGATTCCAATATCGGGGAAAAACTCACAACCATCCAACACTTTGGTTACAAAATCTTTCTCCTCCCCATTGAAAAGCATGCGATATCAAGAAATATTCTTTTCCTTTCTTCCAATCCATCAAAACTGATTCGAAGTCTATCAAGAATTTCTCTGTTGGAGTCCCGTTTAAGTCTTTCAATTGCACTTCTCCATTGAGTTGCATCTCTACCACACAAAAAAGAACCCAACACTTCAAGAGCTAAGGGAAGACCACCAGCGTAGCGTACAACATGTTTAGAAGCTCAATGAAAAAACCTTCTAATACTGTCTCACTATCGAAAGCTTTCAAATTAAAAAGCCGAAGTGCATCATTGGGACTCAATGTCGTAGGCTTATACACATAATCAGCTCGATAAAATGGGAGCAGATGTTCATCTCTTGTTGTTACAATGATCCTACTGCCTGAACCGAACCAATCACGCCTTCCAACCAAGTGTTCTAAGTGTTTTCTGTTATCAACATCATCGATAACAACAAGAACCTTTTGTGAGACAGCCTATGACTGATGATTGCATTTCCTTCATCAACATTGAATATATTGAATACTCTTCAGGCAAGGTTTGAGTAAGAAGTTGTTTCGTAAAGAAACAAGTCCCAATTTGTTTGAAACTCTCGAACATCAGCAAGAAAGCTTCGGCCATCAAAATGAGATGACATTTGGTCGTAAACAACTCTTGCAAGAGTGGTTTTACCGATGCCACCCATTCCACATATTCCTATAATACGGACATCATCTTCTCCAACATCGATTTTGAATACAACTCCTCTAAACGGGAACTAATTCCAACCAACTTATCATGAACAACAGGATACGTTTGACATAATTTCTGAGATCTTTTTAACAATATCTCCAATGAATTCAGATTCATGCCTACAATAGAAATTAAATTTAGTTTTTTTATTCAGTTTAAGAAATGAACAGATATAACCATGAAATAAATGATCAAACTAAGAAAGAAAAGAATGAATTACTTGTTATTCAAATGCCATCCCTTGATGTAAGAAACCTCAGTCAAAGCATTTCGCCATCTTTGGATCTTGTGTTGATCTTCCTTGTATGTCTCTTCGTGTTTGGCAAATGCTTCTCCAACTTTATCCTTTTGTTTCCTTAAATCAGACGGATCCACATCATAGAAAATTGGAAATATTTTATGACCCTTTTCCAATTTTTGTTTAACAATCTCAGCAAGTTCCTCCAAACACCAACTTGAAAAGGCGTAGGTTTTGGAGAAAACGATTACCGAACACCATGATTGTTGAATGGCTTTAAAGAGTTCTGGCGCAATCTCTTCGCCGGCCTCCAGCTTTGTGTCATCCCTGAAAGTGACGATTCCACTGCGTTGAAGAGCATCATAGAGATCTGTAAAACTTGCGCGAGTATCTTCACCTCTAAAACTCAAGAAAACATCATATTTGTGTCTAGAAATAGACGAGGAAGACGAAGGTAACGACAACATGGAGAATTATAGGAGGAAGAAAAGGATGACGCAGGAATAAACTAGGAACAGTCCAAGCAAAAGAGCAAGAATGAATAGAAAAGAAGATCAAATTTCCAAAAACAAAGGTTTCTGAGCGTAATTATTAAATACAAAAGGAAGAAAGCGTGTAGCAGTTGAAGCGTGTAGCAGTTGAAATGAAGGTGTTTTCTCATAAGAATCCAATAAGCTGAGACTGTTTTCTTTGCTTTCTTCAGTTCACTGTTGACTAGGCCTCGAGTCTAGCGTAAAGTCTACAAGGTGGACTACTTTAAGAGTAAACTACATATCATCATGAATTCACTCTCTTTCCTATTACTGTCTGTACTTTTAATATTTTCAATTTACTCACTAAACTTATAGATTAAATTTTTATCACTCAATGATGACATGAATTTTATTATTTTTTTCATAAAAAATGATTATTTTATTATTTTTTCATAAAAAATGACATATTTTTATTAATATTTTTATTATATAGAATTTATAATAAAAAAAATTAAAATATTAAATTATACAAAATCCTAAATCCCCAAATTATACATCAATATGGTAATATTGTTGGAAACCCTTTATTGCACTTCCTTTCTAAAACAATGGAGGTTTACCAGATGAAGGGAATTTGGAAGAGAAAGACCATGAAATAATCTATGAACTAGTTGCGTTGGGCAAATAGATTAAAGGCAGACACTTTACCTTTTTGCCACTGTAGTATACTTAATTTATCAGTTTCGCCCTTATCATATTTTCGCATCAATTAGTTCTCGAAATTGCTTAATTGTATCATTTTATACCCATCCCTTACTTAAAACCCTAAATTAATGGTTTAAAGTTAAAAAAAGGTTTAAGGTTGGGTTTAAGGTTATGATGTTTTGGTTTATGGTTTAAGCTATCAATTTAGGGTTTTAAGTTAGGATTATGATATAGAATGATGCAATTAAACAACTTTAAGAGCTAAACTGATGTGGAAATATTATATGGACGAAAATGGTAAATTAGATCTACAACATGGGTAAAAATTACTCTTTTGCTTTTTTTCCACATTTTCATGTACTGAATTTATAATCACAATTCTAATAATATATTTAATTTATAATTTTTCTCAATTGAGTGTATTCGACTAATATTAACTGCAATCAAACTCTTAAATACTAAGTATATATAATAATGTTTAACGTAGAGAAAATCGCCTCAGTGACCAAAAATGCCTTATAATATACGATTTTAACCAACTTTTTTTGGATTTGCCAAAATGACCAACAAAATCGCAATGCGAAATAAAAATCGCAACGCGATCCCCATAATCGCAAATCAGTTTCAAGAATCGCAACGCGTTTCTGGAAAATCGCAATGCGAATTTGTACTATCGCATTGCGATTTTCCAGAATCGCAACGCGAATATGAAAATCGCAACGTGATTCTGACTATCGCAACGAGTACCCGTAAAAATCGCAACACGTATCCGTAAATCGCAACGACAATACGTAAAATCGCAATGCGTATCCGTAAATCGCAACGAGAATACGTAAATCGCAACGCGATTCTGAATATCGCAACGAGAATCCGTAAAAATCGCAACACGTATCCGTAAATCGCAACGAGAATACGTAAAATCGCAACAAGAATCTGTAAATCGCAACGAGAATCTGTAAATCGCAACGATAATCCGTAAATCGCAACAATAATCCGTAAATCGCAACGAGAATCTGTAAATCGCAACACTGAAATTTTGGGTATAACTATGCAACAACAACAAATCATAAACTAAATCCCTAAATCGCAACTCATTCCATCTCCATCATCACTCTCTCGTGACATCCGTTCCTATATCCAACGACATCCTTCCCCATCCGGCAACAGGTTTTAGTTTCGCAGCTCGTTTGTTTAGTAAATTAATTTACAACCATGAAATCATCTAATGTTGATCATGTTTGGATAGATTTGTGTTTTGGAGGGTCATGGGAGAATGTTCATGGTGTTTTACAATATATGCCTTTACCTATGAATCTTTAACTAAAACTGTCTTTACAAAAGTTAACTTATGAAACTCTAATGTTACGTGTTTCAAAGAAATTGAATTTAGAGCCCCTAAGTGGATTTAGGTTATCTTATCAGAGAAAAGGTAAAGTTTATTTGTTATCCGACAATGAAGATGTTGAACGATTCATTGCTTATATTAGAGTTTCGCAAGATGATGTTACATTGTATGTTGTTGAACCTAAAAGTAGTGAAGTTGGGTCAGTAGCGGTAGTAATCACTAAGTTCTTCAGCCCCAGTTTATGGTGCTCACAATGTACAACGTTGTTATCAACCTCAAATTTAATGGTTCCACCACAATTTCATGACCAAGAAATTTTTGTTTCACCACATTTCCAATACCAAACACAATCTCAAACCTACAACCTTTCCCTAATCCAAATCCCAATCAATTTTCAGCACCAAATTTCGGTTTTTGTATTGACCAGTTAGATGATGATGAGCCAACAGAAAAAATTGTGAGTATTAGTCAGTATTCGAAATTTGATCTTGGTCAATACCCGGACTTTGATCTTGGTCAATACTCGGATTTGATGATGTTTCAGAAGAATCAAACCCGACGTGTAATGATTTTGATATTGGTCAATACCCAAATTTTGATGATGAAACAGGCGTTGCGAAGAAGATGTTGTTGATGATAATGAGCAGGAAGTTACGAATGTGAATGACATGTTGAACATCCATTCTGTAATTCATATAACCCTGAAGAAGAAACAGAAGGAGAATTCCCCGAAGAAGAGAAAAAGAAGAAAATGCCACGGGAGTATAACTGGAATATGCCA